AACATGGATCCATCCATAGACAGACACTGACAGGAACTTTCTGGAGACACAACACCAACTTGGTTATAAATTCTGCACGTTTCTCCATTTTAAAGAGCCAATAATTTAAAATTTGGCGTCTGCTGGATCCATTTATTCATTTGAAATTGCTGGGAACAGTTTTGTTTGTGTCCTTACTCGCTATCATGACTGTAGGAGGTTTATTTCTGGAGATATTAAATCCTACATATGGCTTCGTAGCTAAGAAGTTTTGTGGGGAGGCCACAATGCCAGCCTCGTTTAAAAATTCTGCACTTTTCTGCCATTTTTAGGAGCCAAACATTTTAAATTTGTCCTCAGCTGGAGACATTTACTCATTTGGATCTTGTGGGGATATGTTTGTGTGTCTCGTCACCAAATTTCACGGCTGTGGGAGTTTAACTTTTGGAGATATTGAAGCCTAAAAATGGCTTCCTAGCAAAAAAGTTTTCTGAAATTTCACAGGCCTGAGAACACGTGATGGTCTCAGAACCTAAACGTGTGCCTCAGATAATAAGTATATATAAATACGAGTGTGTTTTGACGCCTCGCCACATAGTTTTTACTCAGAACTCTCCAGAAGTGGCATTTCGCTGCAGTAAAATAAATAGAAACTTAAATTTCTTTTGCTGTTTGCAGTTTCGACCGAGTCGCTGAAGACAAATGCCAGGACCGCCTGGCGTATGAATCCCATTTTCTGCTTGGCTCTAACTACAGCGATTAGCTGAGTTATGAGCAAACGCTGAACTGGAGTGAATACTAAAATAAGCCCGTAACCATGGCGACGCCCTGAAAGCACCGGCAGACGCTTTCACCTCGCAAAGGGATGGACGTGAAACTTCTGAGGTCCTGAGGAGCGGCTCGCCTCCACGAAGCCGTCCGGCGCCGTCCGGTCGGCGGATGGACCCGGTGTTAATTAGAACTCAGCGGACTCCGGCTGATGAACGGCGCAGGTTCAGGTTATTACGACTCATCACCGGCAGGTCGGCCTGAAGGGGAATTCATGCAAATTTAGCCCCAAAAATAATAATCTGACGTGGCGTCAGTGTAGATAGCCATCATTTAATTTGATTTGAATTCATTTAGCCGGCTGGAGGTGGGAATTAACCTCCGACGGAACGTCTACGCTCCTCCTGATGGCCTCGGCGGCGGCTAATTGATTGGAGTCGCTGCCAAACAATCACACAGCGGCAGCTTTATGTTATATTTAACGGGAAGCAACTCGTCCAAACTCAGGATGTTCCTCATAAGTGTGTGAACTGTTATTAAGACCTACTTTTATTGGTAAATCTAATCCCTGTATTCGGCTTGTTTTTGTGTAATTTGGAGGAAAAAAATCTGAATTTTTGTATTGTCATAAAAAGCATGGTAAACCATTTTAATGCTTCAATATCTCCAGAAATGTAAGAACTTTATCTACAAATGAACCAACAGCAATGAACAGTGTTGGATTATTCATACTGTGCTGCTCATGAAGCATCACAGAAGTCTTCATCGTGGTGCTGCTTTACCAGCTAAACCTCCACATCGCTCTCTTACGGCCAACATGGAGCAGCTTGTAGCTCTGCACATCTAAACCAACATCCAGAACCAACATCTAGAACCTGTGAGCTCCAGGTTCTGGTTCCTACCAATGATCCACATCAACATTTAGTCTAAATATCTAGAAACTGGAACCTTGTCTTGTCGTATTTGGAGCTCTTTTTTAGGACTATTTTATGTCCGTTTTGGACAGATTTTAGACCATTTTCTGTGATTTTTTGGACAATTAAGGTCATTTTTGGATAATTTAGTCTCATCTTGGAGAATTCTGACTCATTTTGGACACGTTTTGAGTCACGTAGGACAATTACAAGACATTTTGGGTCCAACTTCACCACATCTGGTTCTACTGATGTTAAAGGTCTGAACAGTTGGTGAAATGTGACCAGAGACTGGGTTCCAGTAGAACCATGGGTCCATCTATAGATAGACACTGACAGGAGCTTTATGGGGCCACGATACCACACATGATTGAGAAATTATGTGGGTTTTTTCCATTTTCAAGAGCCAATAGTCATTTGTTGTTGTCATTTTGGACAATTTTGAGTTATTTTTGGACAAGGTTGTAGGGATTTTGGGCAAATTACGAGCGATCTGGACAGCTTCAAGTTATTTTAGACAAATTTTAAATGATTTTGGACAAATTTTGAGTCAAAACATCCAAAAATTTGAACCTTGTCTTGCCATAGTTGCCACACATCAGTTTGTACTGATGTTAAAGGTCTGAACAGTTGGTGAAATGTCAATTTAAGACTGGATTCTAGTAGAACCATGGATCCATCCATAGAAAGACACTGACAGGAACTTTCTGGACACATGACACCACCATAATTTGAACATTCTCCACTTTTGCCCATTTTTAAGAGCCAATAATTAAATATTTGGCTTCTGCTGGAGACATTTACTCATTTGAAATTACTGGGAACAACTTTCACTTCACTTTCATGACTGCAGGGGGCGTATTCCTGGAGATGTTAAACCCTAAATATGGCCTCCCAGCTTAGAAGTGTGTCTGACCCATCAGCCTCATATAAAAGAGAATAAAACAGGAAAAGCCCCCAAAAAGGTAGAAAACAAGACGGTAAACATCCCACCTGTTGATCTGCAGCTGCACAAAATCAGACTTTAATCATAAAGAGTCAAACAAAATAAAAACACGTTCTGTTGCTTCCATCTTCAGACCTAAATATGAAACCACAAAGCAAAGAAAAAAGCATCTTTTGGGGGGTGTTTATTAAGGTTTATATGATTTTACAAGGCAGCGGCTCCCGTTATCCGTTTCTGCACTAATCACAGTGATTCTCTGAAAAACAAAACCATAAAAACAGATGCTTCCTGATTGACGTCTGGAATTAGAAGGAAAAAAAACAAACAAACAGAAAAATCAGGAGTTTCTGGTTGAGCCGTATCAATCATAATCAGTATTGATTGATTGCGGGCTTCACTCAGGTAATGACGAGTGAAAGGAGCGACTGAGCGGAAAGATGTTTTCTGGTTATGCAGCTATGGAGCTATGGATATCAGTTTCTGTGTTTGCAACGTAGAAAAGTAGGAAAGCACGATGGAATATTTTACTGTAGAAAGGCGCCGCACGGTTAGTCCCTCGGCCGACACTCAAACAGGAGACGCCTCTCCTCGCCGAAGGCTGTCAATCACGCCGACTTCCAGCAGAACAGAACAAGAAAGGGAATAATAAAAGTTTCCTTGGCTCTGGGTACGCAGCAGGTAAACACCAAGTCGCTCTCCGAGGCTACGGCAGAACTCAGATCTGTGCTCGGACGCCTGGAGGTCAGGAGACTAAGGCGGCGTGCTACGCTGATATAGTTGTTGCTACCGAGTAGTGCAAAGACCAAATACAGAACTCCTTCCCTGAATACAGAAAAGCTCAGTCTATGAATAACAAAACAGCCTCCCTCCACCTGCACTACAAACCCCCACTCTCTGGTTTTGACGGTTCAATCTCTGCGGCTGCCAGTCGTGGAATGTCTGAAATTTGACTTCCTGTTGCCTTCCGAGGAACTTTCTGGGGACGTAATACGAGTCTTTGTTGAGAAATGTTTTGCTTTTTTACATTTTCAAGAGCCAGTAGGCATTTGTTGTTGTCATTTTGGATAATTTTGAGTTATGCGAGACAAGGTTCAAGGCTTTTGAGCAAATTTTGAGTAATTTTGGACAGATTTTAAGTCAAAACATCCAAAAATTAGAACCTTGTCTTGCCGTAGTTGCCACACATCAGGTTCTACTGATGTTAAAGGTCTCAGCAGTTGGTGGAATGTCAACTAAAGACTGGATTCTAGTAGAAACATGGATCCATAGATAGACACTGACAGGAACTTTCTGGGGCGATGATACCAGCCGTGATTGAGAAATTTTGTGGTTTTTCTTCCATTTCCAAGAGTCAATAGTCAGTTGTTATTGTCATTTTGGACACATTTTGAGTGATTTTGGACAAGTTTTAAGTCAAAACATCCAAAAACTGGAACCTTGTCTTGCTATAGTTGCCACACATCAGGTCCTACTGATGTTAAAGGTCTCAGCAGTTGGTGAAATGTGACCAAAGACTGGATTCTAGTAGAACCATGGATCCATCCATGGATGGACACTGACAGGAACTTTATGGGGCCACGATACCAGCCTTGATTGAGAAATTTTGTGGTTTTTCCTCCAATTTCAAGGGCCAATAGTCATTTGTTATTGTCATTTTTGGCAATTTTGAGTTATTTTTGGACAAGGTTCAAGGCTTTTGAGCAAATTATGAGTGATCTGGACAGTTTTCAAGTCAAAATAACCAAAAATTAGAACCTTGTCTTGCTATAGTTGCCACACATCAGGTTCTACTGATGCTAGAGCCTCAACAGTTGGTGAATTTTAGTAGAACCATGGATCCATCCATAGATGGACACTGACAGGAACTCTCTGGGGCCACGATACCACACATGATTGAGAATTTTGTGGTTTTTCTTCCGTTTTTAAGAGCCAATTGTCATTTGTTATTGTCATTTTGGACAATTTTGAGTTATTCTAGACAAGTTTCAAGTCAAAACATCCAAAATTTAGAACCTTTTCTTGCTATAGTTGCCACACATCAGGTCCTACTGATGTTAAAGGTCTCAGTAGTTGGTGAAATGTGACCAAAGACTGGATTCTAGTAGAACCATGGATCCATCCATAGATGATGCCGACAGGAACTTTCTGGGGCCATGATACCAGCCTCGATTGAGAAATTCTGTGGTTTTTCCTCCAATTTCAAGGGCCAATAGTCATTTGTTATTGTCATTTTTGACAATTTTGAGTTATTTTTGGACAAGGTTCAAGGCTTTTGAGCAAATCACGAGTGATCTGGACAGTTTTCAAGTCAAAATAACCAAAAATTAGAACCTTGTCTTGCTATAGTTGCCACACACATCAGGTTCTACTGATGCTAGAGCCTCAACAGTTGGTGAATTTTAGTAGAACCATGGATCCATCCATAGATGGACGCTGACAGGAACTTTCTGGGGCCATGACACCACCTTGGTTTAAATTCTCTCCACTTGTGCTGCGGCTGATTGGTTGTATGGATAACGTCGTTGTTCGTCGTGGCTTGTTGTTGTTGTTTTGCGTCGTCTAGAGCTGCTCTCGGCTCTCGTTAATGTATTTGTTTTTGCTTGTGTGGCTCCGACTCACAAAAATAATTAAAATCAGATGACAAACATTAGCTCTTAACATCCTTCATTGACTGCAAAGCGCATCCTTCATTAGCAGAAAAAGGCTTCATCTGATTCCCTTTTGGCATCGCACACGAATGGCTGGCGCTGGGTTTTGGCTGTGGCGGGGTACTTCACATAGATTGCCTTCGGGTTCAGCACAATAAATCTAATCAACACAAAGCGTAATCTGACATAAGCGTCGTCTGTAGTGGCTGGAAACGGACCCACGTAAACCCCCACGTGCCCCCTTCCTCACAGTCTTATTTACAAAACTCCACTGTGGATGGCCAGTGATCACCGTTGGCAGACTTTCTTTGGAGGGAGTTCGTGACTTTGGTCTTTGAGGTCTTTGTTCGTCGGTTTCACGGGCGTCCGGGGATGCTGCTCATCTGGATGTTGTCTCCTTGGAGTCCTGGGTTGTAATACGCCGAACCGCCAAAGTTCAAGTCCAGAGGCTCGTTGTTGTCTAATCTGAGGACTGGAAATGAGAGAAGTTGGCGTTAAACACTGGAACCATTGGGCTTTCATTGGAAATATCTCATTATGACACGATAATCTGCAGGAAAGTAGCTGCTAATGATGCAAACTGAAGCTAAGGTTGGTTATGTTTGGAGGGAAATACAGTTTCTGCCAGATTATATTTGTTTGAGAAAAATGTTTGTAATTAGCACTATGTTGGCATTTATTTTATTTATTTGCTGTGGCACCAACTATAAGATAAATCAGATGTGGAGAAAAGCTTCAGACATGCTGTAAAAAGGTTGTTTTTTAGTCCAAACTGTTCTGTTTTCTAGTTTCTAAACTTAGCCACGTATTTATTCCACATTTCCTGATCCAGTTCTGTTCAGGATCTTTTAACTTCCTGGTATCTGCACAATACGAAGCCAAAAGCTTTGTTTACATCCGCTGTCGCAGAAATTTCATGAACCACAGTTTGTGGGGAGATACTCGGGACGCCGTGAAGCATCACATGCAGTCGTCCTCAGATTTATTCATACCCTCCCATTAAAGAAGGAACACACAAGCAAACAAGCCTGATGGGACCCATGAACTAGCATTTAGCTGAACAACCCTCTGAGCCAATCACTGCCACCAGGTGTTTCTGTAACTCTCAGTCAGACTTGTGCACCTGTGGACAGGTGTTCTGGTTTTACTGCTCATCAGCAAAGTGCTCTCATTAGTCTGGGACAGTTTTTTTTTTTTTTTTTTAATTATTCTTTTCAACCACAATTTAAAAGCAACGTCTTACTTCACTAAATTATAATTTAGCAAATTTTTATTTATGATTACTTTTTTCAGTTTCTACTTATTTGAGTGACTGTCGTGGATTTTGCCTTTTCTTTAATGGAAGGAAAACGTTTGAGGACGACTCTCAGTCTCGGTCCTGGTGGCCCGTCGCCAGATAAAACCTCCACGATCATGCTTTGTTTTGTCACACAGATGTTGTAAAGCGAGACCACAGGTTGTGGAAGGACACCAGGTGATGTTTTTTTTTTTTTTTAACTTATTTTCTTGACCCACCTTTAGCTGTGACACCAGTGGACGTTTATCACGTGTTGATTTTGTTGTTTTAGTCGATGGACGTTTGATTTGTGCAACAAAAGCAGCTGTTTGTATGTTAGCCAGGTTTAAAACACTAAAGCAGCTGATTCCAGTTCGTCTTTAACACGTGAAGTCTGTTTGGAGGTCATGAAGAGTCTCAAATCGCTGATAAAACCTCCACAAGAACACAAAACAAAACCTCCAGAATACCTGACGTACAACAGGTTCTGTATTAATGTGACATGCAGCTACACGGGATTCAGAACATATCAGGAATAGACTTTCAGTTATTTCTGTTATGTTTCTCAAAGATGGGAGTTTTCCACTTTTGTCTTTGATTTCTTTCATATTTTAACTCACCCAAATTCTGAGATTATTTAATCCACATGTTCAGTATCACAGATTCTGAATCAGTGACATGATGAGAAATAACAGAGAAAATTTCAGGCTTTTAGCTTTAATAGTTCCTCAGATGTTGTCGTTCAAACAGCTTTAAATGTCGACGTCTGGGGCGGGGAAAAGAGCTAAAAATGGGTCAACGGACGATTTTTAAAAATCTGTTATATCGGACAATATTTGACAGATTGATCAGGGATTTCCCAGATACCATTTTAAATATCCAGAGTTTATGATAATAAGAAGTTTGAAGCCAGCTAGAGGTGGCTGAGCAAAAAGAAACCAGATTATTTGAGATGGAATAACTCTAATTAGCTTAATTTGGGGCTGTCTGCAATAATAAACTATAAAAATGTCTTTAAAATGAATGATGTTGGAGGATGTCATCAGACTGGGACTGAACACAGGTGGAGACTAAACATCTGAAAACAAGAATACGTTAATAAGTCGATGTATTGGATCTGATTAGTGTTTCCAAACACAACCAAAGCTTCTCCACACGTTTCCTCTGAGACCCTAGATGCTGTCGTTGTGCAGGAATGTGACGATGGGAGTTTGTGTTTTATCCCCAAACACAGACATCATATCGACATGTTTAGACTCCGGCAGAAGCTTCTCCTGTAAAAACTCTCCTCGAATCAAAGAGCTTCATTCTGAACTAACATAAAAAAGAAAACAGAATCAATAGTGCAGAGCTCTCCTCCTGAACGCGCTGCGATTATCCCGCTGAATGATCGCTCCAGCTTCTTCTTCTTCTCTTTTTATTCCGGGAGTCATTTTGGAAATCGCTTCAGCCGACTGAGACGAGTCAACAAGACGAATCGAAACCTGAGTGGATGCGCCTCAGACGTAAATTACACCCGACGCTCAGACGGGATTCCCGACAGTCGGCAGGAAATTTTGACTCAATTTCACGAGAAGCAGGAAACAATAAACCCCGACAGGTTTTTATTAAACGGCCTCGTGTTGTAATAAATTGAATTAAAACGGTTTGTGGAGTTCTGGGCTGCAGGTAGAAGCATTTAATGACGGTTTCTATCAGTCAAAAAGAGAAATGAAAGGATTTTGAGGTGATCTTTGAAGCTCCGGGTCTCTGCTTTGGGTTCATGTGCAGGTTTCATCCACAGATTAAACAGCAGTTAAACTTTAGGACGGAAGCATTAAAGCGTTATTGAGCGACGACGCCTGAGGATCATCACAGGTTACGTCTTCGGCCTCCCGCCAGCCCTTCGTCTTCATTTTCTCGCTTCGTGTCATAATTTACAGGCTCGACTCTGACAGTTATTTTCTCACCGTGTCACTTCACTGGTGCGCAGCCAAGAACTTTATCCACCCAGAGACGGGTTTTTATTATTTTTTTATTTTTTTCATTTTTTTAATATCGGCTCCGGTTTGAATTCTCAAAGCGTCTCCTTCAGTCGTGAGATTCGTTTCACGACGACGTTGTTGAGCAGAGAAGGTGTTGATTTAATACCGTTTGAGAAGGTTTGCATAAAAAAGGGCACTGACGATGAAATGTTAAATATGTGTTAAATATACTGTAAAAAAAAAAAAAAAAAAAAGAAAGAAAAAAGAAAAGGAAAAAGTAGAATAACATAAAAACCGTGAAAATTTGGCAGCAAGGATGCCAGAAAAACTGTAATTTATATTGTACAATTATATATATTTGTATATATAAATTATTTAATGCTTATTTTTTATGAGATATATTATAAAAACATACAATTTTTGAAAGACTTAACTTTAAAATTTCTTTTTCTTTCAATTTTTTAAAATTAATTTTAAATAATGCTTTTTCTTGCTAATTTAAATTAAATAAAACTGTAATTTATGCTTATTTTTTATGAGATATATTATAAAAACATACAATTTTTGAAAGACTTAACTTTAAAATTTCTTTTTCTTTCAATTTTTTAAAATTAATTTTAAATAATGCTTTTTCTTGCTAATTTAAATTAAATAAAACTGTAATTTATGCTTATTTTTTATGAGATATTATATAAAGAAATATATATAATTGTTAAAATACAATTTTTTTGACGTGGACATTATTTACAGTTTTGATTTGTTATAAATTAATGTAAATTAATGCTTTTATTTGCAATTTTATAGGAACCCCCCACAAAAAAAATTTAATAAAAAATAAAAATAAAAACAAATTAAAATTAAAAATTAAAATTTTACAGCAAAGATGACCTAAAGAATATATATTTTAAAAAGTAAAGGAATACTTTAAATAATGATTTTATTTTATTTTTAATTTGTGCTTTTTTTTCTAGTTTTCTATAATTTAGGAAAACACAGAAAAATCTGTAAAATAAATTTTCCAATATATAATAATTAATATAAATATATACTTAATATAGTTATTTTTTTGCACCAGATTTCAGTTAAATAATGATATTTTTGCTTATTTAAATGCAGATTAACTGCATAATTATAATGTAAAAGAATGAAATACAGCTAGTTTTTGTACAGATTTTGGATGTAAACATTATTTACATTCTTGTCCTATATTTGTTTTTTAGGGTTAATCTGTGGTTTTCTCGTTTTTATCAGAACCGAACTGTGGAAAACCTGTGAAATATATCTGTGTTCCAACAGCTCCACGTGTTTTTATGTTTTTTTATGTGTTTTTATGTGTTTTTTTACAGTGTGTGCAGGTTTTTGTGCTGCAGCTAATTGGCGATGCGCTCTGCCGTCTCCTGTGCATACCTGCATGCCGTTTAATTACAGCGGGAGCTTAACGGGGTTAAGTGAGGGGGAGCTGTGACAACAAAGCGCCGCCTTCCACCGAGTTCACGGCCAGAAGGAGACAAATTGCAAACTGTCATCGTACATGATCCCATTCTGCATGCCGAGGCGGCCTTATTATGGGATGGTCGCCTTATTAAAGCGGGACAAGAGGCAGAGAAGCTTCTGGAACTATTTCCCCTCCTGCAGTGGCTCCTAGCAGCAGATCGATATCGTTCTCTGGTGTCCGTGTGTTAAATACGTGGCTCCGGCAGGTTCCCCTGAAGCCTGGAGGAGGCCGAGGCCGCCTGCCAGCAGCCTGCAGCGCTCTAATTAACTCGTGTTTGTTTAATCCATATCGCGGCTGCACATGTATATCAGGTTATTTCCCAGCAGTGTGGAGGAACTGCTGGGAGACGCCGAGGGATGGACGAGCCGGCATCGCTCCGCACCAATAATAAGGGCTTTGTGTTGATGTGTTCACACCTTTAAGGAAAGTTTGCAAAGTTGAAAAGCCTCCAAAACCTCGTCTCTAGTTACGTATTTAGACACTTTTTTTCATGAAAATAATCAATTTCTGCTGCAAAAGTACTTAAATGTGATTCCAGCTACACATTAGAACCAGAACCTGATTCTGAAGGAGGATAATTACACAGAAAGTTTTATTAAACAGCAGAAGTTGACTGTATTTACTCCTAATGTTGGTCTGAGTTCATGTTCACGTCAGTAAGCTGCTGTTTAAAGCTGGAAATGCTCTAAAAAAAAA